CCATTTAAAAAATTGCAATGCAAAAATAAATAATATATACTTACTCCTCACTTATCAACATAATTAGGTTCCAAGACCAGGTCATTATGTGAAAAATGACATATGTTAAAGTGGAAGATGACGCTATCAGAGCGCGAGATGCAGTAGGAGTACGCCACTGTATGACTGCCAAACCACTAAACACTGACAGCGTGACATTTAACTTCATCCAAAGCCAACGTTACTCTTGTCTCACCTACCATGGTCCTAAATGTAAAACATCAGATAACAAGACAGTCAACAAGTGAGAAGTAGATGTATTTTGTTTTCGTATGAAGTTTAGATCTGAAACAGAATCTCCCAGGATTTTAGTATGTTTTCAGATAAGTATTTCCAAGCTATTGTGAGGACGGTGCAGGAAGGACTGGGCTGAGTTTTCTCCCGTTGCTATCAGTTGGAAATGCCTACAAAAGCAGGACGTGTTTGCCTGTAATTAGAGAAAATTGCCACTAGGCAGATGTTGAGTCTAAGCTTTCCTACATAGGAGCAGTACAATTAAAATGATTTACAGGCTTTCTACTCAAGTCTATTCCTGATTAAATGAATGACTATAAATATATAATCTATCTATATATATAGTAGATTTGTCTACTCCTGAATAAATAAATGACTGTATCTCTTTCTCTGGATATAAATATATATATGACTATGTATATATTTAAGCATGTCTTCTGCAGATGAACAGGAAACAATATCAGTATGTGTATTTGTGTATATGTATGTGTGTGTAGTTGCTGTTGTGAACTGATTTAGACCTGACCCTCTAGCAGGTTCTCAGAAGCTGTAAAAAACATGGCAGGAGATTGCTCATCTTTCTTCCAAGGAGAAGCTGGTAGATTCAAACCATATACCTTTAGGATGGCAGCACTGCTCCTTAACACTAGGCCACTAGAGCTTCAAATATAAATATAGATCAATCTGTCTGTCTGTGTGTCTATCTATCTATGTATCTAAGTATACAAATAAAATCAGATGTAAAAAAACCCCATAAAATCAGATGTAATTTGGTATTAAAAGGAATTATAGAAATGTTAGAGAAATATGTAAATGCAGCATCTAAAAAGGATAAGCAGTGAGTAAGATTTTTTAAATCCTTAGATATGCCCAAGACAAATTATGTATTTTTCAAAGAAATTATTTTAATCACTTCCTGGACTTTAGCAAATTGCACAAGAATCTGTTTCACACATGGAGACTATGATTCCGTAGTTCAGCAAGGGAAGCAAATATGTGTATTTTGCAAATTCTCTAGGTTATTACTTATGCACACACATAATAGCAATCTCTTTACAAAAATCTTTCTCTGCCAAACAGATTTTGCCATAAAAATTTTGTAAACTAAAAATACCCAAACAAAACATTTTGTAAACTGCTTTTCCTGATCGTGTGTTCTTCTTGTACTCTTCACTTTTTCCAAAGCAAGAATCCAATGCTTTTAACTGAGTAAAGAGAAGGTGCTGAACTAACCCTCAGTCCTTAAGATCAGAGAAAGCTCAAGTTTCTGCAGCCCTTTTATACCAACAAAGGAGCTACAAGACATGGGAAAGGTGGCGGTGGGGGAGGTAGAAGGGAAAGGTGAGACTTTACATTTATTACTCTTGTGAATGCTTTTATAGTTTAACCTAAAGGAAACTTAAATCTGACACTGGCTCTTCCAAAAAGACCTTTTTGTGCTGACAGAAATGTTCTTTATCTGTGCTTTCCCATCAGGTAATCACTAGTCACATGTGCACTTTCCTATAAGGTAATCACCAATTCATTTGTGCACCTGAGGAAGCAAGTTTTTTTATACACTGAAAATGTAAAAGAGTTATATGTAGCTTGTGACTTCCATACTGGACAGCAAGCTCTAGATGAACTCTGCCTACTCATCAACCTTGTTAATCTCTTGCTATCTGAGCTCTTAGTTTCACTAATTCACTTAGTAAGCATTTCCTGGAGATAAGCCTCTGCCATACTGCTTCGAATTTATGATGACCCTCACTGAGGCTTCTGAGGCAAGAAAATACTTATAAAAAGAGTTGGTTCATCTTTCTTTCTAGGACGGGACTGGTGGATCCCAACTGTTAACCTTTTGATTGTTCTTGTATAGTGTGGAGGCAGAACTGACTCACAGCCTACCCTCCCGTGGGTTTTCAGAGGCTGTAAATCACACAGGAGGAGACTGGCCCTCTTTCCCCCATGGAACAGCTGGTGGATTCAACAGTGTGCCTTTGAGTTGGCAGCTCACCTCTTTACCACTAAGCCATCCCAAGGTGAAATTCTCTACACAGCCAGCATTCCTCGGGCTCTGGAGATATAGCGGCAAACAATATGAAAACACTCCTGCTTTTATATGCTTACCTTCTGTCTCTTTAAAACCACCAGAGCCATGTTAGTAATGGCTTCTTCAAATAACATACATTTATAGATATGTTCTTCAAAATTACCATATTCTGGAGGAAGCAAGGTCAGTTTGAGAAAAGACAGAATTGACTGTGGTTAAAAGGACTGGGGAACACTGTGTCTGAGGGGGAAAAATGCATACTTACAAGACTTTTGGGAAGGACAACATAACTTATTAATAAAATAACTAGTTTTAAGTTATTTCCAAAGGAGGCATAAACCCAAGTGGGCCAAACAGCTGTTGAAAATGAGTATTAAAATTCAGCTGCCAGGAGGGGTGTGGTTGTTTTTGTTAGATGTCGTAAAGTCAAATATGACTCATAGCAACCTTATGAACAACACATCTCAAACTGTGCTATCCTGTGCCATCCTCATCATCTCTGACACCCTTGAGTCCATTCCTGCAGTCCCTATGTCAACCGACTTGGTTGACGGTCTTCCTCTTTTGCTCTACCCCTCACCTTCCCAAGTATGATGCCCTTCTCAAGGAATAATCTAACAACACAACCAAAGTATGTGAGACAAAGCTTCAGCATCTTTGCCTCTAAGAAGCACTCTGGCTGCACCTTCTCCAAGACACATCTGTTAGTCTTTTGGCAATCCATGAGATATTCATCATTCTTATCCAACATCATAGTACAAAGGCATCAATTCTTCTGTTGTCCTTACTCACTGGCCAGCTCTCAGATGCACAGCGAGTGACTGAAAAGACCATGGTCTGAATCAGGTGCACCTTAGTCCTCAATTTGACATCATCACTCCTCAACAATTTGAAGAGGTTCCTGACCACAGACTTTCCAAGCGCAACACATCTCCTGATCTCCTGACTGCTGGTACTAAGGCATTGTTGTTGTTGTTGTGTGCCTTTGAGTTAAAACCAACCTGTAGTTGATCCTCCAGTGAGTTTTCAGAGGCAAATAATCAAACAATATGACACTGCCCATCCTTCTCCCACAGAGCAGCTGGTAGATTCAAGTTGTGTGCCTTTGAGATTTCAGCTCGCCTTCTTACCGACAAGTTGTTGTTGTCATGTGCTGTCGAGTCGCTTGCAACTCATAGCAACCCTATGTACAACAGCCCTAAACCTTGCTCTATCCTGTGCCAATCGCACTGCCTCTGACACACCCATCCCGATTACCCCAGTCACTGAATCAATCCACCTCATAGAGGGTCTTCCCCTCTTGCGCCGTCCCTCCACCCACTCATCACTAACTGCGAGAGTGAATTCTGATTCACAGAGACCTCATAAGTATCAGCGTAAAACTGAGCAGCAAAGGATTTTTAGTGCCTTGTCTTTTATAAGTAGATTGATAAGACTTTCTTCCAAGGTACAGTGGGGCAGATGTGAGCTTTCAACCTGTATTTTTACCAGTCAAGTGCATGAATCATTTGCAGTACCCAAGGACTGTGCCATGGAGAGTGTTGCTGGTACGTGGTTCTGAATCAGTTTCAACTCACAGCAACAGTACAATATATAACAAAACACTGGCTAGTCCTCCACCATTTTAACAATGGTTAAACAGTTGCTGTGTCTGAATTCACTGCTGCAGCGGCTGTCAATGTTTCTCACTGAGGGTATTCCTCTTTTTTGATGACCCTCCACTTTATCAACTGTGAGTTTCTTTCTAGGGACTGGCGCCTCTTGATAACACATCTGAAGTGTATGACAGGAAGCTTTACTAGTCTTGCTTCTAAAGTGCATTCTGGCTCTATTTCCTCCAACACAGATTTGTTCATCCCTCTGGCAGCTCTTAATCTTCCCCAACCATAATTTAACAGCATTACTTCATTAGTCTTCTATAGTTGTCGTTCAACTTTTGCATGTAAATAGGCTGTGGTTTGGTTCACAGTCATTTCATTTTTCAAAATGGTTATCTTTGCTTCTTTTTAACTTTTTGAAGAGGTCTTTATAGCAGATTTATTCAATACAAAATAGTGTTTTATTGCTTAACTAGGGCTTTCATGGGAATTGACTGTAGATACTATAGATCCAATAAAATGAATTTGATATTTTTTATTTCTCAAAATGTTGCTTAAAGGAGAGTTTCAATTATAATTCATTTAATATTTATCATTGGAGATAGCATTAGTAAAGAGTCAAATTTATGAATGAAAGGTACTTTCAAATAGTTGTACCAAATATGTTTAACTATTTAATAAAAGCCTTGAAAAGAGATAAAAAGAAAAAAAAAGGGTGATGACTTGATATTTTATTTCTAATGGTTATGATAACTAGGATCCAGACTGCTGAATCAACATCATTCAGATGGTAAAGGAAGAGCCATTATGCCCTAACCAGCAATGCCCAGCTATCCCACTACACCATGCAGGCAGCTGATGTGTCATCTGGCATCAGCACCAAGCTTCTGAGACAGCGGCTGCCATGCCTAGCATCACTCCAGGTCAAATCCATAACAGCCGAATGCTGGTCAGGGACAAATGGTACTCGAAATGATTAGAATTGAGTGTCCTGGTGGTTAGTATTTACTAAGAGAGAGAGCTGCTTAAAAAATGCTGCACTTGGATAATTATTATTAATGAAACAAAGAACCAAGTTCATTCATCAGCAACCTTACCTAGTTCTGGGGGCAGAACGGTCAGGCGGTTCCCCTGAATGTGGAGCTCCTTAAGCTGAGTAAGCTCCCCAATTTCCTTAGGCAGTGAGATCAGGTCGTTATCCCTAAGGCTGAGCTAAATATAAGAAAACAAGGTGTTGTCAAAACAATTTTCACATTAAGAGGTACTCAACAGAATCTCTATTCCCTTCTATGCCCTCTCGTCTTTTAAGACTCAATCCTTTCAATTTATTTATAAGTGTCTACAGATAAACAAGAAACTGTATCGGGAGCAGTGGTTTATTCCTGCAAAACAAAACTTACTCCTTCTCAAATGGACTTGATTCTACTCCTACAAGGCGCTGCAAGAGTGAATTGATTTTCTAAGAATTTAGATAAATTACTTACTATCTGCAACTTTGTGAGCTTCCCAATATCTGGCGGCAGGATTTCAAAATCGTTGTCACTTAGATAGAGTGCACGCAGGGTGGCTGCAAATTAAACAGCAATATATAAACAAGGTGGCATGGAACCCAACCATTTGAGGTCTGATCGATACCAGGGAGTCAGCTTTGATTAATAACCCTGCCTTGGTGAAAAGCCTGTGACACACCTAGGGCTCACAATAATAACAAGCAGGTCAAACTTAGATTTACTGGCTTATTGTATGGCTGGTATGTTCAGGAAAACATCTATATCCAAGGAGACTGACACAATTAACAATTGTGGGCAGGAGCAGGTTTTGGCACAAAGTTTTCTGAGAGTTTGGCTCTCAGAAAAGATAGCTATTTTCCTCTATTATTTCCCATTCACATTTATTACTTCATTTGCATGCAAACTAAAACAATCACTGTGTCACTTATGTCAATGCCAAGAGAAAAAGGGTATTTTCATGTAAATAAAATGGCAGAGAGAGAGAGAGAGAGAGAGAGAGAGTGTGTGTGTGTGTGTGTGTAAACAAACAAACAGCTTTCCATTGGTAGGAGCTATAATCAGTTTAATTACTGGTTTTCACAGCCTCAAGGGGCAAGAAGGAATGAAAATGATGGGATAAAATAATGACATGGCATTAATAGCATAAAATGTAACATAAAGGGAACTGTAGTAATCAGCTATTTTGTTAATAATACCACAAAATGACAACATGACTCTAATTATTGAAGGTAATGTCTTAAAGCACCTTGGTATCAACAACTAAACAGGAGGAGTGTTAACTCTTTTTCTGTTCAGTTTGTTTTCAGGTGGTTAACTATATAGTGTAATATTTCTAAATTTCACAGAAACATATGCTAAAGTATTTAACAAAACCAATTTCCTCAACCAGAAATTAAATCATGTGGTTCAACAAAACACTTAAGAATTGGTTTCCCATGCTTGAGAAAGTTTCAAAGAGGCAGTGTGTATGCAGGAAAAATGAAATGTAAGAGAAAAAAAAAAATGAAATTTCAGAAACTAGTTTAAAAATTCTAAAAAAAAAAAAAAAAAAATGAAATTTCAGAAACTAGTTTAAAAATTCAGAATTTCAGGCATCCACACATGTCACATGTTACATTTGGAGAACTAGAAGACTTATGTAAGGAAAGAAACAACTTCATAAAGCTTTCTAAAACATGGGTTCAGTTTTTTGAGTAAGGAATTTATTTGCATATGAAAGGATAAAGTGTGTGCATTTATATATAGTTGTATACTAGACAAAATAAACTACTTCAATAAATCTTTTCTAAAGGACACAAAACAAGAATACAAGTTGAATTTGGTTGGGTTTTTGCTTTGTTTTGTTTTTGTTTTTCATTTGGTTAGCAGTTTATTATTGGATATTTCTATATACAACTGATTGAAATATCTTTGAGTAAATGTTCCACAAAAAGTCAACAGTAACTTGCAGAGAATTAATTTTTTGGCACACTCTTTAAAAAAAGAAAGTCAAGTTTCTCAGCTAAATGTAAAACTTCATCTCATTTAGGTATATAATCTCTATTCAACAGTTAATATGACATGACTAAGTCCACTTCAGCCCAAAGGTGTCAGATAATGATATATCAAATGTACATATTGCTGAGCTGTGAAGGAATATTCAAAAGGAATCAGTAAAGAAAAAAAGTATGTCTAATAATTTCTCTTGGAGTTTGGGCCCAGGCAAATAAATTTTACTTTGAGAACACAAAGTACCACTTAAAGGAGATTTATAGAATTAAAAAGTTTCTTACTAAGGTAGAAGAAGTTTCCTGGAAGAGAATTTTCATTCAAGTTGTTGTAAGTCAAGTCAAGGACCTCAAGGGCTGGTAGCGAGCCAAATCCTCGGGGCAAGGTGTTCAGCCTATTCATGCTGTAGTTGATGAAAAAGAGTTAGAAGATGTCACACTCAAAACACAGCACACGTACTTAGACACTCTGTATACAAGCACACCTCGCTTTACTGCTCTCTGCTTTACTTCTCATTGCAGATCGTGCCTCCTTTGCAAAGTAAAGTTTTGTGGCAACTCTGCCTTGAGCAAATCTAGAACTATTTTTATTCCAACAGTATGTGCTCATTTCACAGCTGGTGTCACATTTTGGGAATTCTCACAGTATTTCAAACTTTATCATAACACTAATAGACTATACCCACTAACCAACTACTACTGAGTTATTTCCGTTGAGTTTCCAAGGCTGTAAATCTTTCTTTGGAGGAGTGGCTGGTAGATTCAAACTGCTGATCTTTTGGTTATCAGTCCAGTACAATACACACTATACTAGAGCTCTTTAATAGGTTTACTATTTGTTGTGACTGTTGTTAGGTGCTATGAAGTGGACTACAACACACAGTGACTTATAAACAACAGAAACCTGCGCCACCCTTGAACTACTACAAGCTCAAGCCTACTGTTAGTCACTGAGTCATTCTAGCTCACCCAGTGTCATTCTCTCTTTCACTGACCTCTCTGTCTTTACCAGAATGGTAAAGGTATTTTCCCAAGGACTGGCAACCTCAGACAGCATTCTCAAAGTACATGAGACAAAGTTTCACCATTCTTGCCTTTGGTTGTTCTTCCTCCAAGACAGACTTCCGTATTTTATCAGCAGTCCACAGACACACTAACTCTTCAGCAACATCACAATTCAAAGGCATCAATTCTTCAGGCATCCTTACCCATTGTCCAACTTTCAGATACATCTCATTTACCCATTGCTGTTGAGTCAGAACAGACTCATAATTGATCCTCTAGTGGGTTTTGAGAGGCAATAAATCACTCAGGAGGAAAGAGTTCATCTTTTTTTTCCCCCCGATGAGCAACTAATGGATTCGAACTGTCCTTCTTTGGGTTGGCAATGTAATGATCTACCTAGTAAGTCATCAGATGTATATGAAGCAATTATAGAGTATGTTGTTGCTTTGTACCATCAAGTCGAAACCGAATCGTAGCTGACCTTTAGTTGTTTTTGGATGCAGTAAACTGCCTGAAGAGATTACCCATCTTTCTCCTGCAGAGCAGCTGGGAGTTCTAAACTAGGTAACTTTGGGTTGGCCAACACAAGTACTTACCACTAAGCCATCAGACCTCCTAAACAAATTATAAAATTATGTAATACTCTACTGTAGTATTCACTTTACTGTAGTAAGCTGCCTATACATAGCACACTTCTTAACTACTAGAAGTACTTCAGGGTCACTTCTTAAGTACTACAAGCTTAAGAGCCAAGTATGAAAGGCAGAAATCACAAAGGGGTGTCAATGTTCTACAATCCCACTCTCTTATTTTGATCAGCATATTTTTTATTATTTATATAATATAATTTACTCCAAAATTGAAGTTTAGTTGTTTTTTCATATGTTGTTGCTGTTGTTATGTGCCGTCAAACTGCCTGCCACCCACTGCAATCCTAAGCATAACAGCTCTGAAGCCTGCCCTGTCCTGAGCCTGTCTCACTGACTCCAACACACCTAAACCCATTTCCCCAGTAACTGTATCAATACATCTCATTCAAGGTCGTCTTCTCCTGTGCTGCCCCTCCACCCTGGCCATGTGTCCAAAGTATGTGAGACAGCTTCAAAATCCTAGCCTCCAAAGAGAAACATGATCTCATCCTCTACAAGACAGACTTATTTGTTTTCTTGGCAGTCCATGTTATATTCAAGCCTCTTCTCCAGCACCACAACTCAAAGGTATCAATTCTTCTTCTTTCATCCTTAATCACTGTCCAGCTATCTGATGCATAACAAATAATTGCAAAGATGATGGCCTGGATCAGGCACACCCTAGTCTCCAGACTGACAGCATTGCTTCTCAATACTATGGAGATGTCCCTGACAACAAATTTTCCAAATGCAACTCGTTGAATGTTCATAAAGATAATGAAATTAAAATTTCTTCATGAATATATCAATAATACCTCAAAACATATATATTCTCTATGTACAAAGCTTTGAAATTTTCAGTTCTTTTATCTCATTTACCACATATAATAAAAAAAAAACCCACATTTTTTCTCTGTAATGACTTACATTTAAAATTATCTTTAACAAAATCTAGGAGAATATTTTTCCTATCATTTATCATTTTAAAACCCCTATTTTTCTTAATGTCATTCCCTTTGAATAGCCTTAGAGGTTACTTTTTTAAAAAAAGAAAGTCTTTCACACAGGCTGACAAATATTGAAAGGTAGGCGGGACGGTGACACTTAGACTAATTCTAGTCATTGATCGTTAAACACCATCAAGTTCAAAACTAACAGATCTCACAAGAAATACAGTTAATAGCAAAATAAGAGAAACTTACGAGAAATGTGGATATTCACTTTTTGATGGACAAGAAAGTCCCATATAGACTTTAAGCTTGGCAAAGTAAACCCCAAAGCTGTTGACTGTGATGACAGCACCAAAAGACATATTATAAAATTCAAAATTTGTGAAAGAGATTTATGTCAAATAGTCCACTCTGCTCCCAAAACTCAAAATATGGCCTTGAGTGCTCGCTTCGGCAGCACATATACTAAAACTGGAACTATACCGAGAAGATCAGCAAGAAGTGTTCCATTAAAAAAAAAAAATATGGCCTTGAATCAATTCCCAACTGAATTTAAAAAATCATCTTAAGAACAGGCTTGATAAAATGAACACATATGACCTAAGACCAGATGAATTGTGGAATTACATCAAGGACATCATCCATGAAAAAAGCAAAAAGGTCAAAAGAGAAAAAAGGGCAAAACGTTTGCCAGAAGAGACTCTGAAACTTACAGTGGAAAGAAAACAAGGGAAAAGAATGCCTATGTAAAAGAGCTGAATAGATTTCAAAGGGAAGTTCAAGAAGATAAAGCAAGGTATTACATAGAAATATGCAAATAGCTTGAATTAGAAAACCAAAAGGGAAGAACAAGTTCAGCCTTTCTCAAATTGAAAGCACTGAAAAACGAATTGAAGCCTCGAGATATGATATTGAAGTATTCTATAAGCAAAATCTGGAGTAATGCAGAAAGCATCAAAAAAGATGGCAGGAATATACAATTATTGTACCAAAAAGACTGGTCGGCACAAAACCATTTCAGGAGGTGCATATGATCAAGAATCAAAAGTACTGAAGGAAAAGGGCCAAGCTTCACTGAAAGCATTGACAAAATTTAAGACTCTAGGAATTGATAAAATACCACTTGAGGTGTTTCAGGAAAAAGATGCATCCTTGGACATGCTCATGGGCCAACAAATATGGAAAGTAAGTACTTGGTCAACTGACTGGAACACATACATATTTGTTCCTTTTTATTTATTTTTTTTAAAAAGTGATCCCACAGAATGTGGGAGTCTTCCAGGCGTTTTCCAGGTGAGAACCAGCAAAACCCGGCCAAAGAGGGAGGGCAGGAGGCGTCACTGGGCAAGGTCACCTC